AACAAGTAATGTGTTCCTAGAACTTCAGATTTTAGGAGCACATTCATCTTTTATTTCTTGAAACGATCGTTGACAATTTTCACGTTGAGGTGTTGGGCGGAAAAAGTTTATTTTATATTTACATATTCAGGTTGTAGGAAAATGTTAATTCTGAGTCAGAAGCGTAAAGTGACAGCACGACAGGTCTCTGATAATATCGCACGTTCAAGATAGTGGGGGAGGTCAAATATCAAAGTGATATATCTCGTTGACAGCATGGAGAGGGTTGAAATATTCAAACGCCCCGGCCATGCCAGAGAAGTGCGTATTGATGAACTGGTAGGACTAGGACACCACTCACGAGGGCTAGAGGGAAGCTTGTCCACGTCGCTTTACAGACTCTTGCAGAGGTCACGCAGTTTGCCTCGTGTTTGACCTGAACTTCTGACCAACTGCACATCGTATTTGAACGGTCTTTCTGCTGGATAAACTGCTTTAGGGTGGGACTTCCTCGTAATTCCCTCACACTCATTAAAGAATTTTAATTTTTATCGCCTGCTGTCCTTATTGTGCGCTCTTTACACGAAGTGCATAGCGAGAACTCATTTTGGGCTCGTCGTGTCTGTCTGTCTGTGCAGTTCATTCAACTCGAGAACCACTGGACGAATTTGGATTAAATTTAATGTTGAGATTGAGCTATTCTGCACGATTTCAAAATCGTATTTTGAATAACCTACGAGTGGTGATAGCAAAATTCCGGACGAGGAAAGTCGTTAGGTAGACACTGAGGACACGTGAGGATATTTCTATGTTCCGGTACGGAATACGTGTACCGAGCTTGTTTCCTGAAACATCACTGACCAGTTGATCTTTGCAAAGAGTTAAAGTTAAAAGACAGAGCCACGTGCTGTCATGGCTGTATCGTTAAGTTATCAGCTGATTTTCTCTATTGAATTGAGAAGGTCGGGGGGTGGGGGGGGGAAGGGGAAAGCGCGTGTTGGTCTTCGATCCACGTCGGAACCACTGCGAAAGTGACGTGTGCTGCTGGCCAATTGATATTAATGAGCTCGAAATGTTGTTGAGTGGGCTGTAACAAGTGTGTACCACTTGTGGAGGCTTTTCAGGCCCGTTTTGCGGGAATATGTGAGCACCAATTAGCTGTGCCGCTTCAGTCTCTCTGCCTGCCTGTCCGTCCGTTCGAACTAACTCCACCACACGTAGAAGGGAATTTCATAAAATTTAATTCTTCCCCCCCCCTCTCTCTCCCTTTTGTGAGTAAATCGCTGTTAAAATTCGGTGACTAATTTCGATTAAACTAATTCACTGTAGCAGGGTTCTTGAGAAACGAATAATCCCTCAGCTACTCGATAAATTCCCTGCCTTTTGTTGAATGCAAAGGCTCGTTACCGTGTTTCCAAAAGTCGATTACTGGTCCCAATCATGAGTTGAATCCATTCCACACCTTTATACCCTGACTTTTTAAAGATTCGTTTCAGTATTATATTCCCATCAGTGCCCAAAGTTTTCCAAGTGGTCTATTCCCTTCAACCATCACATAGCCGAAAATCCTGAGTACATTTTCCACCATACCACCATTGTCATGAACCGTGTAGGGCAGAATGTGAGAAAAGGCGAAGTTAGAGAAAACTGCTGAATGACATTTTATGCCGTCCCACCCTGTGTAGCCCCCAAGGAGAGGATTCAGATGCTAAGTCGTGAAATAAATCAGATCCTCCAACGCACAACGACAAACAAGATTCGGATTTGAGCCTCGCCTCTGCTCGGTCCCATTTCGAAACTTTACGGTGGACTTGTTCTTTGCACGACCCGCTTAAAACGAAGACACAGGTTTAAAGGAATGTAGGTAATTGTGTCTGTCTGTGTCCTCATGTTTTAAATCGAGGGAGTGCTGGGCAGATTTTCACGAAACCTGACGTGAACGTCTTGGTGACCAACCAACTTCGTTGTAAAATTCAAATATATATTTATTATTCAAGTCTATACACAAACTTTTAAATTGTTGATGTTAAAATTTAAAATTAATATTAATATTCTGCGCCATTCATCGTTATCTCGATGTTACAATATTGCGCTTTATACTACTACATGTTTCAATGTCATAGCATCATCTTCAGGTTTTTTATCTTTAAAACTATTCTATATTTATTAATGCAAGCTTTTCATTGATTGTAGATGTAGATTACTGTTGTGGGTGTTCCTTTGATCTTCTTATTATTTTGCATATTATGTTGCATATTATGTTAGTTGTTCATTATTCTGTGAAATTATTAACAATATAATTAACATTTGAGTTATTAATATTATTTATATGAAAATGAGTTTGGATATTGTCATAAAAATTCGTTGTAAAAGTTCGTATGAGCGAAATTTCTTAACGCTAATCATCGTAAAACGAAGACTGGCTCTACAACGCTTTCGACCTATCATTAAAGTTAGTAATATTACCAAGTGTAGTGTTTCTAACAACATCATTAAATTTAATTGCCATTGGACACCTCTTAGCCCCGTCTCTTACGTAATCTTTCCCAAACAGTGATTCGACCGCTCAGAAGGGATGCAGTTAGGGCACGATGTCTTGAGCCGGTCACATTTACTTCTTGTGAAAGTTTGTTCAGAATTATGAAATTTATAGAAAAGTTTAGTATGCAGTGTGAGGTATTCGAAAAATAAATTGGCATTCCACCGAAAAGGAAGTGTGAAGTTGTAATGTACGAATGTGTTTGTTAAGAAACAAGAAAGGGGGTCGCCGTATACAAACAGCACAAACCTTGGGAATTGGAAAGCTTCACGGATTCACTGATGTGCTTCTACATGTTTCTTGACATAGGCTTCGAGTTTTAAGGGCTTACCGAGACACTGCAAGGGCCTGCAGCGAGCTCCCATGCTGCTGTGTGTGTCTTTCTGAGACATGAACTGTTGACAAAAGCCTTGCGAAGTTCGTATTGATTTTATGTTTAAACATTCTGCGTGAAGGAGTATAAGGGCACGGAACAGCTCAGTCAGCATAGTGACTACGATACGGGCTAAGTGGCCGGGAGAGTCTATTGTATTGGTGTGGACCTGTTTCTGATATGTTTTTGTGCCATAGTGAATTACGTGATTAGTGTTGAGTCGCATTTTAAATTGAACATCCTGTATATATATGCCCTTACTCTTCCGCCCCACTTGTTTATAGAGAACATACAAAGAATAGAGATTCCGTCACACGCAGAATTTTTGTGAAAATTAATGATGTGAAATTATACTGTGGGCAACATGAATGTCCCAAAGGAAAACACAAAAATTAGTGTTCACGACCTGAAAATCTAGAAACAATAAGAGAGATATCGCGTCAGAGTAGTTAAGCTGTGCGTACATATCCTAAATTGTTTTTCATAATTTTCCCTGGGAATCCTTTTTAAACAGAAATGTCTGCTTTCTAAGAACGCATCCAATTCTGAGTTTCATCCCATTTCATCTGCAGTGCAGCACCCCAGGGATGTTTCTTGGGGGCAACTTCACTTTTAATTTACGTTAATGATACGCCGGATAGACGTTATATACAGTTAAGCTTCTTTGTTGATGTTGATGCTGCACTACTGGCGTAGAAGGCTTGTCCTGGCATAGCTGTACCAAACTAAGGAGACGTTCCGAGATCATTTTTAACTGCCCGAGCAAGTGGGGAGTTTATATTAACGTAAATAAAGTTGCAACTCTCTTATCTTCATCTTTACCTTGTATTGAATCATTCTGCTGTATTTTGTACTCACTCATACACCCAAGAAACAGTATTCCACAAGACCAACAATATCACGCTTAAGTAAATACTTTATTCATCGTTTAAGTTAAAAGTTTAGGCATTACATCATGGAGATTTTAAGCAAGTTTGAAGGTAGGAATCATAATATATTAGCTCAATTGTAATTCAGGTGGGAGAATTTAAACGACCGCTTTATACAAGTGAATACTCATTTTCTTAAATTTATTTCGTTATTTGGTCTCGGGTTCGATTCCCGGCGGTGCCCGAATTTATAACTTGTGGTGGGCAAGGCCGTGGTCTAGGCAGCCCGGAGTTTTCCTCCGTGGCATCCCAACAATTCCTCCATTCACACACAGAAGAAGGCAGTGGCAAACCACTTCTGGATCATCTGCCAAGAACGTATATGAACAGGTCCCAGTCCGAGAAAAGGATGGAAGGATCCTGTTCATATGGACCTGTCGTCAGACAGAACACTAAATAAATAAATAAAATTTGTGAAATATTCCCGTCGGTAACACAGCACACCATTTCTACCTTCGTCTTAAAGTAATTAATTCTTGTAACAAAGAATTAAAGTTTTATTGCTTCCCTCTCCAGAAATGTTTGACTACGTCGTTGTTATTTGTGCAGTGAATAAAATTAATGAAATTTGCTCTGCCTTGCGCCCGATTTTTCACGTGGAACTGCAGCACAACTCAGCTGCTATTAAATCTATGTAGAATAATTCGTTTAGGGAAACCGTCGACTTTTATCTGAGGGCAAAATCTGAGTTTGAGAACTGCTAACAGGAGCACAGATAGAATAATTTGGCTGGAGGGTCGAAGGTCATGTCCCCAGACAGCTCTGACCTCACTCGCAAAGGTCGAAGGTCGAAGTTCGAATTCTGCCTAGCTAGAGAATTGTTACGCTACGCTACGCGTATATTTCATAACGTTTTACTTTTATAAATTGACTTTACCTTGTTCTTTTGGATTGCTTGATTTGGCGACATTTCTTTCATGTCGCCATGATTCACTATCCAGAATCTTGTTTGTGCGTTTGTTAAAGATCAATTCTTTTTCCTTTTTCCCCCTTGAGGTTTGGATGACCAGATTTCACAAGTTCCTATTGCTTTTCAGAAGTGAGACGTAAGGACGTCACGATTGAGATCAATTCTTTTTCTTTTTCCCCCCCAGATTTCACAAGTTGCTATTGCTGTTCAGAAGTGAGACGTAAGGACGTCACGCAATCCCTGTATAAGGTTTTGTTTTGTTTCGGAAACCAGACGAATAAAAACATTTAACAACAACTTATGAGACAACCAGTTTCATGGAAGATGGTCGTAGAGTGAAACTATGTAGTTCTGTGCTTTGTAATAAACTTTAAGAATGTCGAATCGAGTCGAGGTGTCGCGCGGACAGGTTTCGGTCGCATAAACTGTCTCGGTTCACGTTGTTCAGGTGGCTGGCTGGCTTATGCCCGGGAAAGTTCGATCAGAGGAAGCATTGAGGTCGTTATCGCCGTGGTTCCGTCCGTTCTGCAGTGCAGTTATGTAACCCCGCTGAACTATTGCGTCGGACCAGTTGCCGTTGTAAACGGCGCTGCAAGGAATTCATGAATATATAGATCAGAACCTTAGATAGAACGTGTCTTTTATTAGTAAAAAATTTCTGTAGCAGAATTTACTTTTTTTGTGTCGTCCATTATAATTTTACGTAAATATTTCGAAAATTTGTGTAAAAGTATTTATATATTAGTGTAATGTCCGCTGAAAATTCAACACAGATTTTACCACTTTTTATATATAATATGTCGTTATTGTTTAAGGATTTATTACACGTTTTTTAAACACAAAGGAACATAAAGGTGACACCTTAATAATGTTTTTGTGGGATATGGTGGAATTGTTTACTTTTTGCGGGAAAACTTAGCCCCTGCTTCTCCGAGACAATAAATTCCAACTGTTGAGATTGGAAACAGTTTACAACAACTTTTCCCTCTTCGAAATTTTTCTGTGTTTTTCCTATGGCCGTGGACTTACAACATGGATTCGAAACACGAGGCTGAATGGACCGTGACTGAAGGCATCTCGCCCACAGCCGACCGCTTCTGGCTGTATCTATGAGCTTCGAAAAACAATTGATCTTAACACTGTGTAGGTCCAATGGTCTGTGACGCGGTCCGTGTTTGTGGACTATACAAAGTTGTCTTTTTTTCTTATACGTACGTCCATTACTAGCTGGAAATGGTTTCACAAATCTAGTCAGGTCCCGTAAGTATTTGTCTTCTTCGTTGTAGCTCCGTCTTATAGGTAGATATACCAGCGTCTCGGATTAACGTACTGCCTCAGCCCTGTATCCTCCGAAAGGTTTTTTATTTGCCTGAACGTACACGACGTTACAACCCAAAAGACCTACACCGACGACTTCACCGCCGTGAGGTCCTCATATCTCATATGCTATTACACTGATTATAATTCGCTTTTTTCAGCTCCTCTCACTGCTTTCTTATGCTAATTTACTGAAAAGCGTCGTGCTCTAATGACTGCGCTGTTCAGAAAGTTACAGTAGCCCATTGTTCTCATACTGCAGCGTACAGTGGACCAATAAACCCTGTTCCTGCAGAGTAAACCAGCCTCGCTGTTGCAAATCTGCGCTATTATCTCCAGACCGCGCGTAGCTTACATGGAAAACATTCCGTACGGTCTAGACAGCTTTATTTAGTCCTTTAAATAGATTGAAAATGTACGTTAAGAGAAGAACATACATTGAGGGTGTCTGAGAACAGTGTTCTTGCCCGAGAGAGGGTAAGGGGCAGGGGGTTAGAGAAAAATACATGTTGAATAATAGCTTCATAATTTGTGCTCTCGCAGATATTATTAGGATGATGGAATCAAGGAGGTTGAGGTGGGTGGAAAAGTAGCACGAATGGGAGAGAGGAGAATTTACACAAAAATTTTGTCGGAAAAACGTGAAGTTACGATAACACTTGGGAGGTATACATGTAGATTGGAAGATAATTGATACGGTCATGTGGAGTGGATTCATCTGGCTGACGATAGGGACAAGTCCCGAGCTGCTTTGAAGACGGTAATGAACCATCGGGTTTTATAAAAGGCGATATGTTTAGCGACCTGCTGAGCGACTGTTATCTTATCAAGAAGGATTCTGTTTCATGGATTTAGATATAAAATATCGATCTCATTATGATCTAAAATTTTTATTTGTAATGTTTCTTGGCTATGATCAGTACTGAACGAAATGTAAAAGAACATTATTTCTGACTTTGTGCGCAGAAATATCTGTTGTGCGATTAACTTTACAATTATGGGATTGTATCGCTTTTTGGAAAAGATGTGTCGACCTACGTAATTCAAATCCTGTTTCCGTTTGCCTTCCTTGTATTATGAAAGCGAACAAGATTATAACAGTAGTGACGCTTATCTTCTGGGATATTTTTGCGACAGGAAACTGAAAACATATTTTATTCTCCAGGTAATTTTTTTTCAATTATAAAACTGTGCTGTGAAATGCAGTAATTATATGGATGAAAATTTCTCACTGGGTTTTATTCCCCAAGAGAACAGCTACTGGGGACATGAGACATAAACGTATGTCAGGTTAATGAGTATATTGCTACCCACCAAGAGTACACAAAAACACCACTACAGATAAAGCGACTGTACATCACATAAACCATTGCTTTAAGAAACGCCACGCGTAAGATGTTCGTGTGCCGCATTGTTAATGAAGTCTGCCCTTGAAAGCTTGGAGGATGGAGCCAAGATCTTTGCTTGATGTCCCAACCGGCTAAATCTTGTGCCTTCGTTAGACCTTTGATATAAGAAACCAATCTCTTCCTCGTAGACCACTATCTTCCTCCTTAATTAAAATATATGATAGAGTTGGGAGGTAAGGTGACATCTGGAGTGATCTGCCTGTCTGTCAAGCGGCGAGGTAGCAGATTGTTGAAGGAGCGTGGTTACGTTGGTTACGTGCGTAATTTACGATAAACCTCGATAAGAGGCGTTGGCGCGTAATAAAATGAAGACAAATGTGTAGAACTAATTATATTCTGAGTATGATGTATGAGAAGCCAGAGAATTTCTGGCAAGGGCCACAGATGGTGAGACGCTAATAATCAGACGGTGGTCGCGAGGACTTGTAAAGCCGACCACGATACTCCGCCGTACTTCACTATGCTTGGGATGTTACAAGTTCATGAAGACAAAGCTGTGATATGGTTGCACTGGGTCGAAGTTTCAAATTAAACGCTCTGTGGCACGGGTGATGTAATTTGTGACGGAATTTTTCATCAAAGAGAGTTTGATGGTAAATGAAACGATTATATTCCGTTCCTGTGTAGTTTTAGTTAATTGCATGAATTATGTTTATATTTTATGTATGGTTTTTGTATTACTGGTCTTTCCATCTTTATTTTCCTTTATTTTATTTGGTTACTAGGCAACAGATATATATATATATATATATATATATATATATATGTTGAATAATTTGTGGATAATTAATGTGGTTTTGCGCTTTAATGAATATTGTTTTCAGTAGGTTCCGAGCTGTCAATACTAACGTTTCCAGACTTTATTAATATCCATTCAGTTATGCAACGAAGTAAACTGTATTACTTGTATATGACAGCTAGTTTTATGGCTCTGGGCGGCTGTATTTTGGTTGCGCTGTTAGATATGTGTATTTCAATGAGCGCGGGCCTCGATAGAAACGTTGAAATTGCACCACCCAATACTTATTTAAGGCTGAACATTTTTATTGTTTTCCACTAACGGCATGTTTTGAGCGGTTTTATATCTATAAACTGTATGAGTCTTGTAGAAAACATTTGCTCCGTTCCGATCCTTCGACAACTTTGCTGTTCGCATTGCGTGCGGTGATACCCGTAAGCAATGACCGACACCAACATAAGTAGGTTTAACACAGTAATTCACAGTAAAAAGGAGAGGGAGATCATTAATAATAACTGTATAATCTACTGATGTTTTTTGAACAGTCAGTAGAACGCCTACTCGCGCGACTTTGACGCGACCGGGCAAACCGAGTGGCAACAAGGAAGGTATCACTCAAGATAAATTTCGCCTACAGTATCAGTACGTCATGACTTTCTTCCACTTTCTCCCCAACTGATTGCAGTTATCCCCTTGCTTAACGATATTTAACCTGTGTAGATGAATGAGTGTTGATGAAGCACGTGTATTATGCTGTTTGAGATTTGAAGTTTTCACGGCGGTGATGGTGATGATGATGATGATGATCTCGGTTTTGGAGCCGTGTAGACTAGTCTTTGGATGCCATCGTTTGACAGTCTCCATCTTCAGCCCTGAAGAAGGAGACCACATGTTTTTTCCCCCGATATGTTTGGAATACATTTGTAAGAGCTTTTAAGGATATTGAATCGGAAACTATTTTGAAAGAGAATACTGCTGTATCGGGGATAATATTGAATGCCACGCCTACCTTTGCCGTAGACGAGTCCTCGGTTCGGTCGCCAAGTCATGAATATTGCAAGGAGCGAGCCTTTCTGCTGCAAGCACGGCTCAAAAATACGTGATCTGGATATATTTTCCTCGATTGTACTCGATGCATTATTCACAATGCAATATCGATCTATTACCTTCCGACAAGCCAACTCCGTGGTACGCGATCTTTTCTGAGTTTCGATAGTTCTGCAGCTGTTGAAGAAGTACTTTATTGCCATCAAACTTCGTCATTACTGTAAAAATAAACCCTCTCTCGAGCCAGTTCCCTTGTGCTCCCATCAACGCCTTTAACTGGTACTCTTACGTTTCCCGATCATATTTTTACACATTTCTTGGCTCCCATTTACGCTGCATATCTAGCCCATTTCATTATCCTTAGTTTAACGGGCGTAATTATTCTGAGTAAAGAATTTTCAGCTTCTAGTTAAAAATTCCCTTTTTCACATTTGTTATTGTTACAGAATATTAAAAATTCTTCTCATTACTTTTTTCGCATTCGATCCCTTTACATCTGACTAGAAGTGAAAATTTAGCTTTGTCGGCGTGCGTTGGCAAAGTGTAAACTTAATTTTCCGTGGTACGCCACAAGTAGAAATCTGTCGGATTCAGGTCTGGTGACCGTGGTGGCCACGACACAAGAACCTCGGGAACAACCTATCGAACGTCCGGGATAATGCCTACATATCCAGTCTCATACAGCCGTAGTGAAGTGTACTGGAGCACCATCGTGCAGAAATCACATCCATCGTGTCTACAACGAAACACCCGTTATCAAGTGAAGTAAATTTCTGCTGATAAATTGCAGGTACCGAGTACCAGATCGTTGAGATGATCTATGATTTCGGCCCAGGCCTTTGCCTTTAATAGCATCGCGACTGAACCAGCCTCCCAACATAATATGCTCTTGACTTATCTTCTGTAAATTTTTATATAAAGCATTTCCGGACCTGTGTTCATTGGGCCATTTTCACTCATATTGACGTCATGATGCTCCCCTGTCATTTATGGCATATAATTTAGAAACATTGTAGAATTATATTTGAGGACATCCTGTAGAATTATATCGAAGATGACGTTGAGTTATAATTCCGAAGGATGGAGATAAATAGGAAGACTGAGGAGATGTTGGAAAGATGAGGCTGGTACAGACAATGAAGATAAGGAGATGGAGAGGAGGAAGAAGTCTGGAAGAAATATGAGTGTCTATGTGGGTCATCGTATCAGACAGAGACAGCTTTCTGACGGCCATTTGAAGATAAAAGGACGAAACAAGAGGTGGCTTTTTAACCATAAATAAACGTCAGTTAGAATTCGATCCTGATGTGGGATGCAGTTTTACAGTCTTTGAACATTTTACCAGGTACGAAATTGCTGATGGAATTTTAATGAAATTTGTTAGTTTTGATATACACCAAGAGTCGCGGGGCGATTTTATAGATCGTATCGATTCAGTACAGTTTTACCCGAACCTCTAATTTACACCACTGTCAAATCAGACTATATGGATTAAAAAGAACTATACGTTGCTCAGAAAATTTCTACATGTAATAGTAGGTAAGCTATGCTACTTTCTGGAGCATTTTAGTGCCATGAATATTTAACGAAATACATTAAAAATAATTCTAACGGACTGCAGTGCGATTATGATTACAAAAATGGTTTTATATCTGCGATAAATTAATATAAAAACCAATATCGATGTTGATCTTCTGGATCGTAACGGTGCGTGGACATGTTGGTATATAACAAAGCTTCGGAGAAACATATTGTCTCCATCTTCAGCGCTGAAGATTAAGGCAGTATGTTCCTTCGAAACGTTGGCATCTACCTACAGCCCAGAAGACCATCCTTGTATCTTTACCGTCGTGGGAATCTCGAAGCCCGTTTAAAAACTGTGTTAAGCGTATAACCGTGAGGATGCCTTTCCATTCTCTTATGTCTGCATGGAAGTGCGCGGCAGTTGTGTAAACTTCTGCTAATTTCGTTTCTTTGTTCGCGAAATGTCCGTCCGCTCTTCGGAGGTTGCTGCGAACACTTTCTGGGGGTGTTCTGGTGGAAGCTACACGATGAGCGTCCTTCATCTGTCCCGAAGTTGTGATTATGATATTATTCCATAATCTGGCATTCGCTCCAGTGCTTGATTTCGGTAACAGATGATGGCGTACCTTACCTGAGCTACCTGCTTCAAAATTTGTAATCGTCGAAGTAGGTGAATATCTTAGTTGAGTAGCTGAACTAACTGATAAAGTTTCACGTAATGTTTGTCTTCATTAAACTTCAGCACATGAATAAATCACAATGTGCTCTGAATGATTCGGTCCGATTGAACGACACTTATGAATCTGACAACTTACATTAATGTTAAAACGGATGTTAAGTTTTGATTAACTTCGTATGACTTGTGAGCATTTGAACGGGCTTGGAGAACCCAGTCCTTATTTTGGAAGAATATGTTAATTTGCTCAGGGTCTGAAAATATTTGCTTTTAATGCCGACAGTCGGGCTTCAGTCTGTTAATGTCATTTAAGAAAATAATCTCATTCTACCGCAAGACCCAAACGAAACTTGTAACTAAACTCTGTGTAACACTGCAATTAAACTAAATTTCGAACGGCAGAACATGTGAAATAGCGTACACCTACCGCTGAGCTGTAACTTTGTCAATTTCACATTAATGCTTTTCCGGGGAGTGTAAGACGTTCCTTTGAAGTCGGATATCGGCTCTTCACAGACACACAGTCTCTACTACAATTTATATCATACGCTGCTCAAAGTGTCTCAATACTTAAAAAGACGCACATGTACAGCTGTAATACCATGTTTCTTCGAGTTTAAGACGCCATCGATTGTAAGGAAAAAAGACGCTGTATCTTTAATGTTAGCGTTGGCGGTGTACAAAGTGTGGCGCTCTAACGGGATTTTAGTGCACTCTGGAATGTCGTCGAAGTATGAATGAGCCTTTGTAGTGTCTTTGTACTGGTAACCGTACGTTGCGTCCGATCGAGCGGTGATGTATGACGGACGTTGCTAAGTTACGAGCCGACTCTCATACAGGTTTCTTATTTGTATTACATTATTTAGAAGCCAGTTTGATGTTTTCGTATCTGCTCACGCGTACCGATTTGATATACGGGCCCGTACCTCGGAGAAAACGTTCGCTAATATTTATGTGTTGTTTTATAACGGTATGTTTTGAGCTATATTCTGTTATCTGTAAACTGTTTGAGATTTGCATTACATTTGACTGTTAGATTTAAATACGTGTATTTGCGTCATGTCCTTTAATTATAAATTGTTGATGTGTAGTCTTTGTGAAATTTCTCTGAGATTGGAACGAAGCACGGGAGAAAGGAGTGAAGGAGATAAAGATACGAGAGGGGAAAAAAAAGGAAGAAACAGGGTGATCGGTTAAGATACGGAAGAAACTATTCTTCGTAGAATTTCAAAGGGATTTTTGTGCTAGTCACACTTGTTAGTTCTGCATCATAAGTTCTGTACACCCGCGGTCGCTTTCCCAGTACGCACTACTTTATCCGTGCGTAGTATACATAATATGACACTGATGTCTCTGTTTAATTTTTTACATTTATCTCAACACGTTCTCGTTATTTTGTCGTAACATTTAATGCCTTATTTAAAATACTTTCCATTTTAGAACTTCGGTAGTGACGTCATATTCGGCCATGTTTTACCCTGCACGTGTGGCGAATCTGGTTGGCTGTTGCTATGGAAATTCGATCCTCTTTACTACAAAAGGAGATTGAGAGATTCAGCATCATTTGGTGACCGTGATGCTGCAATGCTGCAGTTGGGCGCTGAGAGTAGCTTCAGGGGGGCTGGGGTTAAAATGAAGAATTGTAAGACTTGTATTTAAGTGGTCATTCTAACGGGCTGTGCACCGTCGCTGTAGCAGTTGTCTTGAAAAGATAGCACAAACCTCAATAAAATATGATTCTGTTTTTATTAGCTTACATTTTTATTATAAAAGGAAAGTTAGGCTCCTGGAATTATCGTTCTAGAGAGCTCGTATGTTTACCAATTCCTCATAATAACTTTTAAACCAATTGATGGCTTTTCATGAAATTTGGTATGTAAATAATGCAGTTACGGGCTTCCGCACCGAAACTTACTTCTATCTATAACACTAACATGATGACCACACGAACTTCTGAGGTGGCAGAGACTCATACGCCACTGGTTGTAGGGCCATAAAGTTACATGTTCGAGTTTATTGCAGTTGTCTCGCGGTTTAGGGCTTGCGTCTTGACCGTTTGGATACTGGGGTCATGGGTTCGAATCCAATTATAGGCATGTGGGTGTGTTGTCCTCCGTGTTGTGGTGTGTAACGATTTCTCTCGTGGCATTCACGACTTACCAACCGGACTTACTATTACGTAACCAGTTAATAAGCTTGTTTATAGCCTGGCTCACAAAATATTTGCGCTTGTAAATCGTCTTGATATCCATGCAACTCAGATGTTCGAATCAAAAGTATTTCGTCACTGGAGCACGAAACAAACTATCTCGGTAACAGGGCCAGAAATTGAAGAATTCGATTTTACACTTGACTGAATCAAGGACTACGTGGCAGAACTAGATGAAAGCATCAATCTGCTATCGTTTGTTAAAACTGTATGACTGGCATTACCCACTGTTTACAGTTTCCTCGTTCTACCCTAATAGCTAAATTGTGAGAACAGGAGGCAGAGAGCTGCATTGCCCGCTGCACGGAAGCCTTGTAATGCAAGGAAAGTGAAGTTTGTATGCCGATTTATGTCCTACACGTGACCCGTGACCCTCATAAATCTGTAGGTGTACAGATCAACTGCATTGCCACGGAATATCAGTGATCAGTTTTATGATACAAGACTGATGTCTATATGCAAAATGAATCAACCCAAAACATAAAACTATGTTTATATTTACTGTATACCACAGTTACACTATTCTGTTTTACGCAGATTATTTTTAAAAACGCAGCAGTGTTACAAGCATTTTACAATATTCTTGGTTTGGTTTGTTGCTGTGTATGAAATATTGCAACATTATTTAGCGGTTCTATTTTAACTGCTGCTGTCGAATGAGCAATGCCAAAATGATCATGAATTGAGTGATAGCAAATACTTGGGAGCATCTTGTAGTGTCGTGTTTTGAAGTATTGTCACGGAAAGACGTGAAACCTCCATTAGAATTTCGAAATTCCGTACTGAAATTCGATTTCAAAGAATACC